AAGATACACACTTGGATAGATAAAATTATGTATTATTTATTCAATTTATCCAATTAAATTTCAAAATAAATATGAATTAAATTTTTGAAAAAAGCCATTTTAAGGAAATACCAGATTTTGAATAAAAATTTATTACCACCTAAGTTCTTGTTTATGAGAACTGATTATGATAATTAAATGTATCTAAGATACTCGTAAGATTGTGTTCGTATGATAGACATGAAGTATCAAGGCAAAAATATGACCAGAAGCGCAAACTAAATTAATGGAACAACGATTTTCGTTTGTCTTTTCAGGTGATCTGATTTATGAACGAACCACGAAGATCAAAGTTCTGAAAACACGGAAGCGGTCTAAAAACATCAAAAGGTTTTTGTTTAATATCTTTATCTTTTTCAATTTTCATTAATAAAGATTGCTACGCTATTCATTGTTGAACTGGTGTAATTTTTTTAGCAAATTGCTCAAGCACAGATACATCGAATAAGGCTTGATTTATAATAATATGAGTGTTCTCTGTGGTTGGAAAATCACTAATTGACAATGCTTGTGTAAGACTCAATATACATAGCTATTTATTTCTTAAGCAATCAGTAATTAGTTTAGTGCATATCCCTTTGGCCATTCTTAGGTTTTTGGTGAAAATCATATTTGATATAATTTTTATGGTATCGCACTGTATGAACTTATTATTGTACTCCAACCTTATTGTATTTCAACGTAGATATTTCAAACCATTATTCTTAGTCAACAGGAATGATTAGAAGAAACACTTGAATTTATCGACACAATGAACTTTGGGTTCATTAAAACTAAACAACAAAGTATATTGTGAAATTTATTCAAAAGAACTAAGAATAACCTCACACCAAAGATTTTTTCCTCTGTTGATTGTTCGATTTGTCGTGATTTATCCCTGTTGAGGAGGTTCCATTCATCTCGACAATGCTTTGACGTGAATTTAGCACCTCCATATTCGATATGCTAACTGCTACATGAGTAGGGGAATTTTCAGGATTTTCCAGGTTACCCCATGAAGACATTTATACATTAGGATTTATTTCAATCCCAAATATCATTTTATTTGCATACATATGGTCGATCGTTAATATAAAAACACATTTGTGTTGCGAGTGGCTTGATTTAACTATAGACGCTCGCTTTAGTCACAACTAGCTTGATGAAAAAGACGCTGAAAAAGTTGTGTATTGCGCCTAGCTTCATTACTCCTTCAAGATCTTACCACTAAGGGTGACCTACCAGTAACTACGCTACTAACGGCATTGCTCGAAAAAATATTGCAACCGCTAAACCCCCTACCACGACAAGGTGACAATTCCCGTTAGGCCCTATGCTCCACGCGATGAAGGGGACTACAGTAAATAAGTAAATAATGAATTACTTGATTTCTACAGTATTTTTTAACGAGAATACTTTGCTTTTTAAGAAGCAGCTGAACTGCTGCAAAACAATGTAGTCACATCTTTAACTGAATATATTCTTACTTTTAACTTAAAGTCAGTCATTTCCTGTCGTAAAAGCCTCAACGAAATGGCTTAGCAGAATATTATTTAAGTTTCGGACACAGCTTTATAGTGAGAAACTCTTTTCCAAATGATACTGCCAAGAAACGAACTTTTTCTAGAAAAAAAATAGAATCGTGTTCATGTAGCTGCCTGTAAACTTATCATCGGGAAAATATTTCTAAACGAAGTAGATGAGTGATGGAATTGTGCAATACCATAAAAAAATCACAGAGTTTTCTTATAATGCGAAGAAATGAAATCAAAGTACTTATATAAAACAGTGTCACTCTGCATTCAAGGTCGATACACCTCAAGAATGGGCTTAACTTCAAATGACTACTGCAGAACCTGCTATGATGAGGAGTAAGAAAAGAACATCAAACAAATTCTCTATTTCTGTCTAGTGCATAATAAAAAAATAATGAATATATTTGGTAGTGCTTATGTGGGGACATATTATATGTTGTTAACATTATGACAGAATCAGAATTAATAACTCTTCTGTAAGGTCACAAGTTATGTTACTGTACATGTATACTTTAACGTAAGGCAATTACTATTATTATTATTATGGAAAAGGGATAGAACAATGCGACCTAAAAGAGTTATTGTGCCCTTTAGTCGGAGTAGAGTGTTTCTCCTAGTCCGATTTCTTTAAAGAAAGATAGTATATGGCCTATCTTTACTAGTCTTGAATCCATGAAATATCTTCCAAGATGCTTCTTCCCCCACATATGGTATGAAACCACCACTCTCTTCTTTACATTATCTGCAGTCTGAGTTGGATTGGATTCCTGACTTTGTTAGGTGATTATTCAATCTACAGTGACCGGTTAGTAATCTCGTAATAATTCTTAGATTATTCTTTGTTTGTTCTATACAATCCTTGAAGCGTTTTATGTTACGTTGTAAGTCTTTAAAATCATTTTAGATTATGATAGTCTTGGTAGCTTTTCACAGTATATATCAATGTAGGCAACTACTATAATGAACTAATTTATTTTAATAACAAATACTTAAATTTATAAAAGATTTGTCATATTTTATTGCTGTTCAGTAATTGCTAAATAACTCTATTACGAACACAAATTAATACACTTCATTAAACTTAGCATTGAACTACCTTAAAAGTCAGATTTTATTACGCTATTTAATGCTGAACTAGTTTAGTAATGCCTATTGTTACTAGAAGGGACAATGATACACCTAAACCTATTAAATTTATTGTGTTAAGTAATAGTTTATATATGATGCTACGTATTCGTTATTTATCAAACTCTGAAGTGGTTATTCAATGTGCAAAATGGGCTGAAACATCAATATTGGACATGAGTCATTTTATAAAATATATGCGTTTTTGTTAAATATATTTTCTCACGAGTATACTATATATAAAAACTAATTTGTCTGAAATCCGTGCAAGTTTAACATTTAAAATATTTTGTCTAAAAATAATCGAACTCTTTAAATTGTTAGCGTTCATTATTGATCGACAATTTTAAATAAAAAGACTTTGATTTATAAAAAAAATGCTACTTTTTTATGCTCAATTGGCAAATAAAACACGTTAATTAATTTTATCAAATCATCTATAAAATTTGGATGCTAAATTTCCACAAAGCAAAAAATACTACATAAATTGGGTACGTTTGCGCCGTTGTGGTGGCACCACAAATCATCGCCAGACCGACATATGCTACGCCCCTCGTACTTTTCAGTTTCAGTTCAATAGTCAAAATCAAATAATTTAGTTTAATAAATCGAAATCAACACAAATGCGCCACTTAATCTAATTAATTTTAGTACTTCGCTGCAGTTTTTAATTAATTTTTTTGTTTTTTTTGAAAATTCTTTTAGAATTTTTCACCAACTTTTCACGTTACACGTACAGACACAGACGCAAAAGTGTCCAAGTGCTGACTTTGCATTCAGTTTTTCCCATGCCTTCGCTGTCTTTGTCGCGCTTTCATGGTTTGGTGGTCGACCACAATCGATTCGAATGTTCTATAGCTATTTTGCGAACTCAAATTGTTCAGATGCGCAAAACGAAACGATCGAAAGGTGATCTTCTAATTGATTAGGGACGGAAAATCGAGCGATTATTTCAGTCCGGAACCGTGAACGAGACGCACGCATTTTTGTTGCGGTAATTAGTGGCGTTTTTTTTTCTCGGTCATAAAATCTAAATTGATCAAGTTTACTTAAATTTCCGAATCTAATATAACTCCATTTCTGAATTTTTTAGTTTTAATCCACGAAATTTTGATTCTCTCCTGTTCTCGGCTTAATTTTTAAATACAAAATGGTAAGCAGCTACGAAAAGCATTAAATATACATAATGCGATATAATATTCTAAGAGAAGGAGTTATAGATAAAAGTGCGAATTTAGTAAATAACTGCAGTGTAAATTAAATACTAAATAATATTAAATAATAATAATGGGATATAAAAATTAAAACTGTTTTCTAAAAAAAATTGTTTAGGAATAATATATTACGTCACCAAAAAAAATGTTAATATATATTAAAAATATGTAATAGAATATATTTAAATAATTTATCTGTGCGAAAATATTATGGAAAAAATATTGGTTCATATATGTGATCCTGATAAGGACGCTTTTCGAATTGAAACTCCAGAAAGACATATAAACGGGTATGTGTATCCCATATTCAAAGAGATACATACTCTATAATGTCTTATTAATCAGATGTGTATGTGAGATATCTAAAATATCTTTTTCAATAGTGGTAAGTACAGGCATGATTAAAAATGATCATTCTCTTCGCATTTTCCTTGGATGAAATTATTTCATCAAACGGATATATTTTCACGAGCAAAAGGTAACTCTACATGAATTTACGGAGTTTTGATCAACCAATTTATTAGCCCATTATGGAAGATGGGACGTACAGTAATTTAACCGTTAACTACAGTTTCAAAGAAAGGATTTTAGTAAAAACTATATATTCTATAAAGTATATTCTTAAAAAAAATTTTCAAACTTACAATAAAAATAAATGTACTCAGAGTGAATATATGTAACGGGAAATGGGAAATCCTTAAAATGGTTAACCATTCTTCTGTCGTAATGATAAAAAGTATTTATGATTTTTTATGAAAGACATATTCTTTTTTATTTATTAAAATAAATATTTTAAAATTAACCATTTTTTTGATATTACCATTTAAAAAGTGTTACGATTTTTCAACTAAGATATGTCCATTTTTCATTAAAAGGATATTACGAAATATATATCCAATAAAAAAATTGTTTGAATCTATTCTAGCATTAGTATTCTCAGTAGTTGACAAAAGTAATATTCTTGAGAAATTATGTGATAATGAGTTCATCATCTTCTAAAAAACAAACTCTTTCTTTACTTTCTCTTCTCATTACTTTGGTTGGATTTACTTTAAGATAAAGATAAAAAACAAAATTGTGAAGATATATATTTTAGAGTAATAAAAATTTCATTCTGCGTAGTTATTCTAACACATCTAATTAATAGGAATAGGTCTCAGGTATGATTATAATCTCAAAATCACTTTTCTTAATATGGAAAACATATTTCACAATCCGCATTTTACAAAATGAATTTGTTGAAGTGAAAAATATTTTGTATTAACAAACTTTTTAATTTGTTTTTGTTTGAGATACAATAGACATACCATATCTTTTGAAGTTATCTTTTTAAACAAATATATTTGATTTAACTGTTTTATATAAAAGTATGTATAATTTGTATATATATTTGTTTAAAATTTTGTTGACACATGTTAACAATTAAAATGATTTGTGGATGATTAATAAAATTTTAGGAATAAAAAAGTTCGATATAACTAATTGATGTATAATTTGATATATGTTGGATCATTAGATAAAATCTGACAAATGTGTATACTAAAGACTTTTAAAAAGCCGAATATTATGTTTTTATATTGCCATCAATTTATTGTTTGTATATATGTTTATTATGCATATATACTCGTTTTGTATTGCTCATAATAATACCAGCTTTAAGCTGGTAAAGATTTAAAGCCGTAGATTTTTATTAAGAATAAATTATGGATTTCAACTGATGTGATCCTTTGACAGATTGATTATTTGAGGAGACGAAATTTTGTTATTTGTTATTTTATTATTACTTTGTCAATAAGATCTTATAGTCAATATCATATGGAATACATTGGGTTGAGTTTCTAATCTCGTAATGAATTAAATGAAAATTCTAACTCAAGACTTCATACACCAGATAAATGATTTTTGTAAATGTAATGATGTTTAGATTATAAGATTTATTCGAACTTCGTAAAAAATGAAGTATAGCAATTACTGATACATAATTGGTAAATTGCTATATACGTCGAAACGATTAGTTATACAGTGGGTTGTCTATTGGACAATTATATTACTTTAATATTAATTTTGGCATTTGCATATTATTGAAGTAATTTTAACAACAATTTTAATTGTATTAAAAGCAATATCAGTGCTGTCTAACCCACGATAAATGAGCCTTACTTAAACATCAACAGATGTATAACGATCCCTTGTGATAATAAAAAAGATATTGCATGAATATCTATATCTGTTGTTGAGTCTCCAGTAAAACCTATTTAAAAACCGTGAGAACGCATTGTGCAGACTTCCCAGTTATCATTATTTTAATCTAGAAAGGAGCGATACCTCAAAATGATAATGAAAGTAATTTTTAAGTGTAAACCTATATTCATTAATTTTCTTGTCGCCTATGTTTTGCTCAATTCAATAAACTGTAAGACACAGGAATTGTATTTGGCATACCAAATAGATTAATTAGAATGATAAATTATGTAAAAAGATAAACTTTGAAACCCAGAGAACTTTTAAAAACTGGAAAACTAATAAGGTGATGGTACATTGGCTTTACTATGCAACCTCACACTTGAAATAGTAATATACAAAGGAAATGGTTTTCCAAATATTGTCTTAGATACTTGCGTTTAAAGACGATATAAAAACTATTTCTATTCCATGGGAAGAAGTAGAAAGGAATAAGCTAGACTTACGAAACTTGGTTCAACGTTTAAATTTAAAGATAAGTTGACCAAAACAAAAGCCCATCCAGTCAGCTTCAAATGATTATGTTACAATAGTTCATATAATAGATAGGCAAATGGAAATACTAGAGGCTTAGAATGCTTCTAAATTGGTATTTTAGAAGAAAGTCATACGTGGGTACTAGTATGTCAGATCTTATATACTGCAAACATGCCGGAATTTCAAAGCGGACTACTTACTGAAAGATCAAATATACAAATATATAAGTCATGACTAGGTCTTTGGCGACATATGCATCAGAGATATGAACGATCTCCAGAATGAATGGATATGCTTTAAAATACTTGCGACTAAAATTTTACAATTTTTTGTTCTTTGCTTCAAAGAACATCTGACGTCAGCGATATGACTCCAAACTACACCAGTTTCACAATAACAATACGTAGTATTTAATATGAAACTTGCGTGCCTAAGAGGGGCAGGACATATTTTAAGAAGGAATAAGGTAGTTTCTCTAGAGGAGTACTTCGGTTTCTGATAAAATCTGCTAAGTTGGTAACTAAATTTAAAATCTGCTATTGGAAGGACGCAAAATACGATATTACCAAAATTTCTTTGATTAATTTGACGAATTTGATAAGGTACGAGAAAGGACTAATATGCAAAAAAATCACTAATGGTTGATTTACACAAACAAAAATACTTTGAAAATCATTCCATAATTTTCAAAGATCATTTCTGGATTCAATGAACTAAAATATATTTGAATAACTACATTCAATTTCGAGTAGATAAAAAAAATAAAGAAATTCATTGAAATAAAAAAAAGCACTAACATATAGTAGAGGCATCGACAACAGAAGTTTGAAGAGATAATATAATTATATTATTTAATACAATTCAATCCCTAACGGTTTTGTTAAAATTTGTGAAGAAAAAATATTTTTAAGAAGTTATTTTTTTTATACTTATTAAGCTTAACATTTAACTAATAAATAATATATAAATTTTATTTTTTTTCATTATTTTGCAGTCAGAGGAAGAGTATGATAAGGAACAACTCAGAAGTACGTTCAATAATCTTACTTATTATTAATTTGATTATATCTACTTTTTACTATATGTGAATACAGTTTTGCGTAATGCCTTCAAAGCCTTCGATCATGACGAAAAGGGCGTTATTGACTACGCTGATGTGCAGACAATATTAGAAATACTTGGACAAAAATTAGACGATAAAGCCACAAAAACTTTGATCAAAGAAGTCGACAAGGCCAACAGTGGGAGATTAAATTTCAATCAATTTTGTCGTCTAGCAGCGCGGTTTGTTGAAGTGGAAGAAGATCAAGGCGCCTTAGCTAGTGAACTTAAAGAAGCGTTCCGTGTTTATGATAAAGAGGGTAAAGGTTATCTGACGGTTCAGACGCTACGTGATATTCTTCACGAACTTGATGATAAATTGAGTAAAAATGACTTGGATATGATCATTGAAGAAATTGATGCTGATGGCTCTGGTACTGTTGATTTTGATGGTATGTATTTTCATAACATAATTTTTATAGAAACAAAATAAATAAAATGTTTTCAAAACATTAAAACGTTATAATAATATTAACTCAATTAATACATTAATATAATATATTATTAACTCAGCTTGAAAATTGAGTACTTCTTGTGGATACAAGATATGTTTTGAATTTAAAAAATAACGAAGCAATTTAAACTGCTTTTGATTTTTTTGCCAATTTCTAAAAAAAATTTATTTGAAACATTAGTTTAGCTTTTAAATTATAAATATTTTTTTGTTTATTTTTTACTTACAGAATTCATGCAAGTGATGACAGGTAAAAATGTTTATGACATTTCAATTAATCGTCAGTTTGTCTTTGAACCCAGCTTGTCACACAATTCCTGTCCTGACCGTCGATATCGTCTTCATCGCCGTATTGAAACTTATTTTGATCGTTTATACGAACAAATGTTACGTCCATTCGATTGGTTTTATCAACAAAGTGTGCGCACATTCTCCCATCCCTCTCCGAAAGTAATATGTCATATAATAAAATCAAATAAAAACCCAAGAAATATTAATAACGTGAATGTGAATGCTGTACCCTGTTGTTATCGTCCAACCTATCGTCCGCGCTTCCCTAAGTGGGTGCCTATTTTGACTTTGTATCGAGAAGTTGTGCAAAATCCTTTCAAACGTCGTCGTCAGTACATGATCACATACGATTAACATGTTCGATTTTTGATCCTGTGCCTGTTTAATGCAGTTTGCTACCCACCGCTCACTTTCATTTGTTCATTTGTGTTACCTTGCATTTTAATGTTATTTTAATCACTGCCAATTAATGTTTTTACAATATATTAATTTATTATAATTTAATATTAATATCAGCACTAACCGCTGCTTCTCCATTTCTTATAGGTTAAACTTTTTAAGTAACGAAAGTACAAAATTATTTAAATATTTAGTTATATTTTGGCTGCTAATACGTATGTATCTCTTTTTGTAGTTGATGTAGAAATATCGAATATATATGAAATATAACACACTGTAATCATTTTATTTTTGCATCAATAAAAGAGTTAAATATATATATTACTTTAGTGTTTCATTTTAAAATAGTTGGTTGCATGTTTCTTTACAATCTTTAATATAATAAAAAAGTATATTTTAAATACTAAATATCGGTTGTTCTTATGTATATATATAATTTACTCGCCTTTAACGTTTCAATATCTCATATTAATTTTTGCTTTTAATTTTAAGTATACTAGTTCAGTCCTCGCCTATTCTTAATAACTCTACTGCTTTGGCTTAAACCGAAAGTTTACTTCTTCCTATTCTAAATTTATAAATTTATAAATAAATTCTAAATTTTCAGATAACTTCGAAAAATAGTTCTTATAAAATACTTAGTATAAGTATATTCTGAGTATCTGTTAAGGTTATGTCATATCATGGACATCGAAAAGATTAGCAATTAACCCGTAAGCGAAAAACATTGAGGAAAGTGTAAAAGACATTGAGACATCATCGAAACTATTGGTATACAATATACAATATACATATAAGAATTTATATTTATTTATTATTATTATATATGGGTTTTATTACATTAATAATGGGAGATAATTGAAATTTTTAGTATTAAATTTTAAACTTATTTTAAAGTGTGTAAAAGTATGTGTTGAATAATTAAAAAATAATTAAATATAAGTTTTATTACAATTTAATTGTATAAAATATTTACTATTGTTATTTAATTATATTGAATATTTATTTTCTGAAAAAGAATTATAGTTAATAAACAAGTTATAGTTTAAAATTTCGGTTTATTTAAAATTGAATGTATGAAGCAATAGAATATAGGGAGTCCACAGCTTAAGTATGGTCTAAATTTACATATAAAACAAATTTTTCCTTTTTGCGTATTGGTTGTACCGCAAGTAACATAAACATTATAAAGCAGTTATGATCTTTACATATCTTGCCTTCTTCAAGGAAGCGAAGTTTCGCCGATTTTTTGTGTAACAAAATTTAGGGCTACAGAGCTTGTGTGAAATTTAAATAGAATTAAGTAGAGGAAAACATTAGAATGTTAATGAAGGCTTGTTTCGACGCTACTCTGCGTCGAATTTATATAACGCTTTCAAAGAGGTTGAAAGAACAATGAAAATGATGGAGGGTCCAGACGTCCCTCCAACGATGAAACCGCGAACAAAATTGATGAGATTATGATTGTTAAAAAGAAAATTACCGTGAAACAAACTACTGAAGAAAGAGAAATGTCATACGATTCATGCATAAAGGAAAATTTTGATAACCTGTGTTAATCCAATAGTTCATTCATAGATACATACTTTATTATTGAATACAAGGTCATATTGCTAATTTCACAATACATAATTAGTTAAAAATTTGTCTCCAATTTATCATGAATTCACATTAATATAATTAAGAGAAATCTTTCAACTAAAAAAAATCCGTATTTCATTTACCATCATTTACGTTATTCTAGAAAAATATAACCTTCATATTCAATGAAATAATTTACAGATATTTTTGGGAGCTGATTATTACTGAGAAGTTATAATATTATTTTATGATCGTTTTAAGCGGTTTGGGAATTAGAATAATATTTTTTTAAATATTTTAATTGCAATTAAAATTTATACATGTAAGAGTAATAAAATTAAAACAATAGATCACTCTTATGAGTTTAAGTTCGTTTTATTATTTATCGAAAGATAATCACACACGAAAATTATAATGTTTAATATTTGAAACGCTAGCACGCGGTGATCGACCAAAACCCATTCACTGACTGCCTGTTTCGTTTTTGCTTTTTGTTTCTTTTTCCTTTTCAGTCAGGGCTGCCATCCTCTTACAGCTTGGCCTTTCCTGCTGCTTCGGATCGTCCTCGATCCGTGATTGTCGAGTTGTTTCCTTCGTCTTCGTCAGCACCTTCGTCTTGACCGTCGCAGAACTGAGGTAAAGCACACCATGATTTCATTTTGTCGCTGGAGTAAACCGACGAATAATGGCGCTGAGTACGTTGGGAACCAGGTATGTCTTGCACGACATAGCGATCATTACCTAGTACGCGTGTAATTTAAAATGGGCCTTTATATCTGGGTTCAAGTTTACGTGAGGTGCCGGTGCATGGTGCCTCGTATTCAACCACAACCAAGTCGTCAACGTTGTACTTAGTCGGTGTTGAGTGCTTTTTGTCATAACGTTGTTTAGCCTTTAGTCGTTCTGCATTCAGCCGCTTTACTGCTTCATTACGATTGTTCGTTAGATTGTCGTTCAGTATATCATCTCGCTGTAGAACAAGCACTATCTTATTCTGTAGTATATCTCGTGGTTTAAAATTGAACAACAGTTCTTGTGGCGTTCGAGAAGTCGTTTTATTGCGCATACTGTTTATCGACCATTGAATCGTACGAAGGGACTCGTCCCAGCGCTTGTCGTTATTTATCGTAGGTAATAGCATAGAGAGTATAGTTCTATTGCATCGCTCGACTAAGCCATTTGCTCGTGGTGTTCGTACAGAATTAGATATATGTTGAATGTCGTTCTCGTTGCAAAACCGTTTGAATTCTTTCGATGTGAATGCCGACCCGCGATCCGATATAATTCTCTGTGGCATTCCCACATAACTACTTATTTCACTGAGAACGTCGATTACATGTCGTGTCGCTGTACTTTTCACTGCTCGAATAATTGTAAAACGTGTGAACGCGTCGATAACAACCAACATGTGCTCTTTTTGTTTTGAGCTTTTCGGAAAGGGCCCTAAGTGATCGACGTGTACGGTTCGGAACGGTATTGCTTCAATTTCGCTAATGTGCAGTTCGCCTTCCTTTTTACCTCCTGGCACCTTATTATATGTGCAGTCGATGCAAGATTTTAAATATGATTTTACAAAGTTACGCATGCGAGCAAACCACATATGCTCGCTTATTCGTGCAATCGTTTTCTCTAGACCCAAATGCCCAGCTTTATCGTGGGCGTTATACACAACTTGCCATCGCAATCCTTTCGGAACCACCCAAAGATTTTTGTCTTTCATCTTTTTGTATAGTCTGCCATGCTGTAAAATAAAATCTTTGCCAACCGTTGCATCGCCATTACGTAAATTATTGACTGTTTGTTTGATGGATTCATCTTGAAGCTGCATTCCGAAGAGCCAATTATCATGGCTTACTTGTATTTTATCGACTCGTAGAGATGCTGTTTCTAACTCACGTGATGCTTCGACTGGGGCACGACTCAATGCGTCTACATGAGCCATTCGTTGGCCTGCACGATGTTCTATTTCGATGTCAAATTCCTGAATACGAAGCCACCACCTTGCAATGCGTGGTATAAGCTCCCGTTTTCTCATGACCGTGTTCAATGCGTTACAGTCTGTGATGACTTTTATTCGTTTCCCATATATATAGTACTTAAACCTTTCTATTGCTTCTACTACTGCAAGAGTTTCGAGTTCATAGCTGTGATACTTCCTTTCGTTATCCGTAGTAGCTCGACTATAATAAATAACCGGTTTCCATCCAGCACACTCTTTTTGCATTAATGCGCCTGCCAAACCTACAGCGCTAGCATCCGTATGTACTTGATGTTCTGCCTCCGCCCTATATGCTGTCAGCACAGGTCGCGAGACTAAAATTGCCTTTAACTCTTCGAAAGCATCGTTTTCTTTGTTTGTCCACTTAAACGTTTGATCCTTTCGCAATAACTGATTTAATGGAGCGCCAATAACTGCGTACCCTGGCACGAATTTTCTAAAATATCCACTCAAGCCAAGGAACTTTCTGACTTCTGTGACGTTTTCTGGTGTTTTGAACTCGCGTACAGCTTTTGTTTTAGCCATCCCGGGCGCAATACCATCTGGGTTCAACTCGTGGCCTAAAAATTCAATGGTAGTTTTCAAAAATTCGCACTTACTTAGGTTGAGAGTAACCTTCGCTTTACCCAACGCTCTTAAGACACGCTCTAATTTTTCGTACTTTTCGTTCACCGTTACACTACCAATTAGTATGTCGTCCATATAATTCATCATGTCATCAGGTTTTACAGTTTCCCTTATCTTAGCGATAAGACGTTGAAAAACTGCCGGAGCATTTTTAAGTCCGAACGGCATTCGCTTGAATTCGTATAATCCTTCGGTTGTAATAAACGCAGTAAACTTTCGACTATTTTCCTCAATGGGAATTTGATAATACCCGCTGTTTAGGTCTAAGACCGTAAAGTATTTAAAACGTTTTGCTTTCTGTAATTGTTCTTCAATATTCGGAGTTGGAAATATTTCTTTTTTCATATGCTGATTTAACTGTCGAAAATCTACACATAACCGATCGCTACCGTTTTTCTTTTTCACCAGAATTATGGGACTTGCATATTCAGAATTAGATTTACTTATGATGCCACTATCCAGTAATTCCTTTATCATATCTGCGATTACATGTTTCTTCGGTTCAGGTACACGAAACGGTTTTTGGGCTATTGGTATATTAGTATCGAGTTCAATATTCATTTCCATGAGGTCGGTGCATCCAATATCACGTACTCCCGTTGCGAACACATCAGAGTATTTGTTCATTAAACTAATTAACTCAGTTTTAACAAACCGTTCATCGATTCCACATTTGATTTTATCGTCGCATAACTGCTTATGTTCGTTTTTCTTAACAATTTTTCCGCATACATTTTCAAAAGTTGTTTCCCCATTTACCACCGTCATTCGCATACTTTTTAACATATCTTGCCCTAGCAAGAGATCCACCTGCAACAGTTCGTTGTCTACTACGTACAGACATACAACTCGCTCAAGGCTGTCTATTTTCATGTTAACGTGTATTTTTGTATGTGCGTAAACAACACCACCGCAAAAACCATTTATCTTAAGGGTACATTCTTCTTTAACGCATTTGAGACAATTCGCTGCCATCTGCCTAATCATACTACATTCACTGCCAGTATCGATCAGTGCCGTGAATGTATGATCGTTAATCGAAACAACTTTCTCCAACTGATTGCCTTGAATAACTGTCTTATTCACAGTTTTCGTCGTACGTGTTCCTACGCTTTTC